TGATCTCTTTTCTAAACATTTATGGGATTGAAGTGGCTAACAAGAGGCTATCATCTACCAGATGTTAATCACAGAGATCGAGAGTTGGAGAAGATTAGAAAAACTAGTTCAGGACAATCATAAGTTAGGATTATTTACAATAATTGCACAATGATAAAGAAGAGGGTGGGGGATATTATCAAGAGCAAACGATAAGTTTGGTCCAAGGTTCCTGATCTTGTCGGCCTATTTATTTACTTTCATTAAAGATAAGCAAGCCACTGAAGAAGAAGAGCACTGTGATAGGAGATAGAGGAATAAACATCTTGCTCTGCCATGCCTAGCATTCGAGAATTTTCGAAATTTCTCTTTAGATTAATTCAATAATCTCTTCGACTTTAAAGGTAATACGTGTCTAGCAAGGGACTCCCAGAAACCCAGCTTCCCTTCATACCTACGTAAGGCATACCGGTAGGATTTTTCCTGACAAGATCTCACCTGCAGGCCACCCTGGTGTAGTTGGCCAAAAAAGACTACCAATACGGATTGCTGCAGGAACCAGCCAACCAAAGAAGCACAAATTAGAATTCGCCTCCATCCACCTCTTATCGTCTCGAATTTTCTCCTGGGGTTTAGATGTTTTGCCAGAGTAGAAGTTACGGGAGAACAATACTCTTGGCGAATCATCGATACATTTTCGTAAGTAGGTGTAATGTAGAGAATTCGTCGGGCAGCCAGGAGAATAGCAAATGGGATTGAGGGCACCAAAAACCGAGGTTCTTGATGTGTGAGAGAAGAGAGCATGGTGACGGGTATGAGGAAACTAGATAGAAGGTAATAATCAACCATTTGAGTAGTGATAATTGGGTTAACAGAAGCTGTCGTATCAGAGGCAGAAATACTAGTTTCGATAGTGTCTCTGTAGGACCAGACCATAGGGGGCAGGAAAATGAGGGCCAGTAGGCATGGTGACAGCATCAGAGGTAGATTGACAAATAGATGTATAAACCAAGAGTGACGACCATGATGAGCTAGATTTTCTGGGTCCAGGTTATAGCTTAGGAAATTCACTGGCGTAACCACAAACTTGGATGATTTATGTTCGATTAAGAGATTGAATATGGAAGAATTGGTAGAATGAAGAAAATATAAGGTATCCATTAAAATGAATAGGCAACTAGATAGGCAGAGGCCGACCAAGCCGACAAAGAGGAAAATAAAGAGAATACCAGGGCGACAGAGGAATCTTGAGGCCTTAAAAAGAGGGAATTGGCGGAGAAAGAAGGAGAGTTCGAGGAGAATGACAGTAAAGAGGAAGGAAGGAGCCTCAGGCCTAAGAAAACATGACCATACAAAAATAAAGGCCTGTAGCAAAAGGAGACAGATGATATTGGGAAGTGAGATAGAAGTAGGAGACGAGAGGAAAAGTCCTGATTGATTGGAAATGGGCTTAAGAAGAGTGATGGCGCAGAGAGAGAAAAGGGCCACCAAAGTGGCGAGCCAGGAGTTCGAGAAGCTGCGGCCGCCTGAAAAGTGGAAAAATAATAGTCATAAATATTGAGCTGTGGAGATAAACAACAAAAAGTTGACTAGATAGATAAGGATTTAGGAAAAAGGACACAGTATTCATTTAATAAAAAGACAGCAATTAAATCCACAACCGTCAAAATGGCGCAACTATTGCAAGAAAGAAACATCCAAAATAGAAATTAGGGATCCTTCTGAACCAAGCTTGAATCAGCAGAGCAGATAAAAAAGAATCTTCTTGAATAGTCGGTTGAACAGGCCTCATTTGAGTAGAATTCAAGTGGGCATTATCATAGGTGGTAGTAGGCGTAAGACGCAGCTCGCCAGCAACATTAAGATACTAGTAACAGCAAGCAACACCATATTATAGACACAGAATATTTACAAAATAGAATA